ATCAGAATCAGAGCTGTGATCTATATGTGTGACTTTTACTGGAAGCTGCAAAACTTCCCCAGAAAAGCAACCCCTGGGGGCTTTATGCAATGCACATCTGAGCAGCAAAGGCTACTTGGTAATTGTGACAAAGCAAAGTGTTTCATTCTGGTTCCTGAACTGGAACAGATGACTATTTCTTCTTTTAAGGAGATGAGAGTAAAAAGGGAGCCAATCCAATCTCTGGAAGAAAAGCCTACGATGGAACCTCAAAATAAACACACTTATTTGCATATACAAACACTATATGTACCCACTAATATCCCTTCCTTAAACCGTGAGGAATATCACATATGCTACAGCTCACACCAACCAGAATAATGAGGGAGGTGTTGGGTTTAGATATTTTTATAAGTTCATATAACTCTGCAGTCAAAGCAACTCTAGGTTCATCAGAGCTATCACATAAGAAAAAGGGATTTATCACAAACAAGTTTGTTTAATCATCAGCTGCCTTAACTTCAGTCCTCTCTCCGACCTGCATGTCTCCAGTCTGTGTTACAGTCTGTATTGCAGCCTAATCACACAGAAAGGCAAACTCTGAACAGCTACTGTCACCTCCCTCTCTCTTTTCCTTTCCCAGCAGGTTAAACGTGGAAAATGCCAAAAATCTCCTGGGAGTGAGTCTAAAAATGAAGTGTAAATAGGTACGGGGGAAAAAAAAAACCCTATGAGAAAAAGTGTTATGGAAGGTGCCTGAATGGCAAAGTGCAAAGGGTGACAAGAAGAAAATTGTGATGGCACACAAAAGGCGAGGGAACAAGAAAGATGTGATACAATAGATAGCTGGTGAGAGCCTATCCACTGCCTGGTCGCTCCTGTTCCTCCCCCTCAATACCTTCATTTTTTTTGTTATGATAAAGGACATTCATGATCAGTAACAATGTTATAATGATAGTAAATGCGGGATTTAAGGTATATAAAACCTTCAGCCAACATTAGAAAGCCACCAAGGGGGAGTTACCTTGCACGAGGTTCTATTTAGTGATGGCTCCACTCTTTCACTCCCTGACTGCAAATCAGCATTTTTAGTGGACAATAGGCTCAGCAGTGGCCTTATGATTGCCTCTTTTCAAATGGAAATGGCTATCCTAACTCCTCTGCCAGGTTTTTCTTACTATAGCACAAATTGCAGTTTACAAGGCTCTAAGGGGAAAAAAAAATCTTAGCTGAATATCTTTTTTTTATTCGACAAACTGACATGTAAATTACCCTTTAAGTGCTCCACTCTAGGGCTCTGATCATCTCCTAATTGTCACAGTCAATTGTAGCCAACAGTCTCTTCAATCCCAAGCGCTTTGACAACAAGCATAAGGATCAAAGCAGAATCAGCTCCCTTCAATATCCTTCTGTTTAGGATGCTACAAAAAGCCTGAAAAAGAAAGGTGTAAGGGCATTAGTGGAGAAGGAACTGCGAGGAGAAAGTACTATACCAGTCATTTTCTTCTTCACTAATATTATATATCCTTATATACTCTGTTATCCCACGTTCAGCATGAATACATAAACATCCCTGATAATAAATATGGTCTAAAATCACTCGCATATATTACTACTTTAAAATAAATGCATAATGCATTTCTGCTGCTTCCTGCATGCCTCCCTCCAACTTTCCCTTCGACTCTGGGAATGAATGCAACACCAATTATTTTTTTAAGCTTTTTTTTTTTTTTCCCAACGCAGTCCTACTGTGTCTTCCAAGATGAGCTGGGCTGCAAACCAGCCTACCTGATGGAAACCCATCCCAAGTTGTATTCGTGGGGCCAGTATGACTGAGACATGAAGCAGGTTGTTTGTGCAGCCCTGCCTTTGCTTTCTGAAGTGCCTATAACCCAAGGTCAGGCACAGGCTGGAGGAAAACCCTCTCAATTCAGCTGGAGTCCAACTCTGAGAACAGCCAGTTTCAGTCACTTCCAAAATGACTGGGAAGAAATACAAGAATAAATTCAGCAGTTCTCAAAGCCTGCCCAGGGGGAAAAAAATAATTTCCTATAATTCTGAATGAAGATTCACCTTTTATTGTGTTCCAGACCACTTTAAATCAGCGCCACACTACACGGCTGAAATTTTTGTACTGGCTGGCTGTGTTTGATGATACGAGCTTGCTCACTCTGCAATACGCTTTCATACCCTCAGTGCCTTGCAGACGCCTTGTTGGAGTCGTGTTTCCAGGGAATGGGAGTAAGACAGAGCTATTCTGAGCCACATTTCTGCCTCAAAACTTGTGCGTCTTCACAAACGTAGCGGCAACTCCCACAGAGGCTCGCGAGCAGCTTCTGCCACGCGGGCTGCAGGGGAGGAATCGCGCGGCTGCTGCAGGAGATGTGCTGCTGGAGTGGGAGAAAACCTGCAGCAGGCCAGGGAGGCAAGACGGGGATGTGCCATAGGCATCTCCAAATGGATAATCTGCAGGGTTAGGCAACCGGAGCCTCTGGGCCTCTCCAATGATCTTGCTACCATAGAGAAAGCAAGGAAGAAACTTCACCCATTATCCTCGAGCTCTGTCTTTCCTGCTCCTGAAAAAGATTCAGGTTAAATCCCTCAAGTAAAACAAAATGGGAATTCAGAGGTCAAAAGCTATTTGTTCCTTCATAAGAAATTAACTCGCTCCTTACAGCTGTTTTGAGGAATTTAACATTTCTTGAAAATGATGCGCTTCATCCATTGTCGCACGTGGCACTGGAGGAATGGTTGGATGAGGCAGCTGGATGAGCATCCAAACCCTGCTGCCCCCATACTTTCCACACCCAAATTCTGTAGAAGATGAACTGAGTCAGATTTATAAACCAGCAGAAAACCAGTCACTTGTTTAACCGCACACCAAGACAGGGTTTAAGGTAGATCTTTCGGAGTCATCACCTACAGCACACTCCTCAAAGACCAAAAGGTTTAAGACATAAACAATAAACTTATTTTTACATAGAGAACACTCTGAGTTTGTAGGGAAGATACAGCACAGATACAACAAGGCTTCCTACAGAGCTGCCTCTTCACCCAAATGTGGATAATACAAAGGTACAAAGACTGGTGAGAGTGTTTTCGATAATGAATAGGAACAAGAAGTCAAAATTTCTCACGGGAAAGATTTTCCAAAAAATGATGAGTGGGAAACATCAAAAGCACTCATTTGAGTGATGTCGAAATAATATGGAAGGTTAATCTAATATATAATTTAAAATAAATACAAACCCAAAATTACAAAATTGAATTGAAACATTTGTCTTGTCAAGCTTTTGTTTCCGTAATATCAAAAGGGAAATATTTTAACTCTTTCTGACCAAAAATTTTGCCAAAAAATTCATAATCTGAAGAAGAATTTCCAGTTTAACAGTGGCACACACTTTGCCCAACAGTGAATTTGCAAATATTTTTTAGCCTTGTATAAAGATCAATATGTTTCCCAGCTAAATTCTGACACGACTCCAGTTAAAACATATACCATATTTTCCTAGATATTCCAATATAAAAGGTAAGTCCTGTTATTTTTTAGGAAGACTATTCCAAGATATTAGGACACCTTCCAAATTAAACGTTCCCAACATTAGCAAATTCGTAGCTGCTTAGCTCACTAAAATTGACTTGAAGTATAAAGATATTTTCACCTTCTCATTCACACACAAGAGGAGATACATGCTGAGAAAAAGCTGCAAAGTCAGTTGGATTATAATTTATTAATATTATTGTTATTATTATTATTATTATTATTTATATAACAGAAAAAAAGTCTCAATAATAGGACAGCTAACACAGCCTGGGCTATTTTTTCACCTTGCTTGAACACACATCCAGATAGTTGTTCCATAAAACTCTTGGTTCCAAGCTCAGCCGGTGGAGTTGCTGCTGATAGACTCCAGAGAGTTGAGTAGCACAGAAATCATGGATATTTTCCTTGTTTCCAGCTGGTAAATCACAATAAAGAAGCTTAAAACAATATTCTTTCCCTATCAGAACATTTTTGTGGAGATAATTGCTATAGTTTGCTAAGTACAGATTTCATGAATAGAAAGTAGTAGAGGGTCCATATGACAATGAATAGAAGGAGATCATCTCAATGAGAGCGTTTTTCCTTAAAATAAGGGACATGTTATGGAAAAAGTCAAAAAAATCCTTCCCTATCACAAAATATATTTTTTTTTTCAACACATGGAACAGCAGTAGAGCTGTTTGATGCACTAAGCCATTTGCTGCACATGACCATTTCATTATACTCCAGAGCTGCACTTTATTTATTACAGGTGATTAACAACTGTCTTGCACGACAGTAATGAGGGAAAAGGGCCACAGCATGGCTTGTGCACCGGAGCAGCCTCCAGGAAAGCGGCTCCTCCAGCTGCCTCCCACAAGCCGTGGGTGTGCCAGGGAGCACAGGGGCTCCTCTGCCTGTGGCACCCCAAAAAGGGAGCACTGAATGCTGATCAGAGTTTGGGCTGTGAGAGGATTCTGGTGCCCTTTCCTACAGACTCCAGCATAACCCCCCAGTCTGGTTGCAAAGGAGGGGAATAATAGTGCCCATTGTGCTGCTGACATTTCTCTCAGAGGGGGTGGCTCTTCACTAAGCAGTTGCATTTCCTTATTTAGTTCTCGGCCACAAGCATGGATTTCTGCAGCCCTTTTCTTTTTTTGTGCGCTTTTGGAAAGTAAAAGTATGAGAAGTTACATTTTGGAAGCCTTGGAGACAGTCAAAGCACATGCACTGATATGATATGAAAGCCCGTGGCCACAGGAACCACTTCAGGACTATTGCAAGGCTCCTGATACAGCTCTTAAATGACTGATGATTAACTGATGTGCTCTGGTCATTAAATTCTTCTTCAACGCAGCCTTTCAGGCAACAAACTAGTCTCCTCTGGGATGCCTTGCAGGTATCTGTGCTGAGTTTGCTAAGAATGTTCATGAGGTCAGTACCTCTGCAATGGCCAGAGCCAGGTGAAGAGCCTTCAGAAGACCTCATGGGCTTTGCACCTCAGCTGGGATTTGGTTTAAGCAGTTCACATACCCCTTTTTAAATGATTATTTCTAGCTGGTACTCAGGGTATGTTGGTGACAAACAGCTGCTTCTGCGCAAAGGCTGAGGTTCCAGCCAGCAGTAACAGGACTTATACTAAAGGAGTCAAAGCCTACACAATTCCTTGCTCTTGGGGAGAAGAGGCATTTTTTGGGTGTCTTCATAGCTCATTAGCACAGTTTCTACTGCAGTTAGCTCAACTGCACAGCTCCCACTCCAGCAGCCACATCCTCCTAAGCCCAGGAAAACATTCCAAAGCTATTTTACAGAAGAGGACATGGAAGCTCTTTTAACAGTGGGATCCAAGTCTATTAAAAGCCAACGAGATGTGCCGTCCAGCGAGCTCACCAAAGTCATGAAAAACTGGTGTCAGAGCCAGGGCCAGGCCACAGCAGCTCCCAGGGCCTAATCTGTGCTCAGGCAGTTTGGTATCACAGAGATCTCCCTGCTGTTAACTCCTGAGAGGTCACCTCCAGGCAGCTGAGCACACACCGAGGATGTCCTGCTCCCTTCCAGGCTCCTGCATGACAAAACCCAGAACAAGGGCATCATTCAGAGGCACCACCACTGGAGCTGGGTTGTAAAGAAAGCTGTTTCAAATAACAGCCAGGGAGTCAGAGAAATCGTGTCTAACCACATGTCTGTTGAGAAGAATATTATGCAGCATTTATCAGCCCCGACAGGAGCTTGCCTCACAAAACTGGTTTCAATATAGGAGTTTAAGTACATGGCAGCTGAGAGAGGGAGTACAGACACTGTTTTACACAGGGAGAATTTCTATCTGTTACTAAGCTGTAATTTTAATTGACATTAAGCAAGAAGAACCACAAGAATAGAACAAGTGCCCATTTCTCACAGCACATCTAGCCTGTGTAGAGCTGCTCAGGGCTCATATACCACCAGTTTAGAAACATGTGTAATTGCTTATGGTCAGTGTCGAACCACTGCCAGATCACACATTAAACAGATAACCACTATTATTATAAGAGCAACTTCCTTGACCTCATATTTTGGTCTGGCTCTGAATTCCTGTCCTTTACCAGTTTGGTTTGCTGCATTTTGCCAGCCTGCTGCCTCTACATGTCATTTTCTACTCCTGTAAGTGACCGGTGCAGCGGAGAGCTCACTCTAAAAATGCATATTTGAGCACATGAATAGAATAAATTCAAGAAATATGATCACAGTTGCTCCTGTAATGTTTTTATAAACACAGAGTCTCTGCTTTTTTATTATAGTTAAGGTACAGTGTGTTATTTGGCAGAGGAATCTGACTTGAAAATGTAAAAGGTTCAGGCAACCACACATTTGGAAGTAGAAATCTTTCCTTAAAACAAGGCTCTGGTGTTTAAACATAGCAAAATTTCTGGAAACTTCAGTTTCTCAAAGTCTGCCAAAGCTCCAGTCACATGTAGCATATTCTTGGGGCTTACATATAATGCTTCAAGTAATAAACAACATCTTGTTTAGAGCAGGATGGAGAAAAAAAGGGGAAAACATTCATTAGGAGTCAAAGCTCTACACCAGTACTAAAAACAAAACAAGTTTTTTGCACTGAAAGCTAAGAATGACTCTTATAATGGATTTAAAAAAAAAATTCAAGTACTCTTCACACCTCTAAATATTGCAGTTGAAATTGTAGGTTAAGTTCTTACAGCAATTAAATAAAGTATTCTATAAAAGAAATAAAATACACTCACTGAAGCACACTCAGGTTTTCAGCAACAGAAAGAAAAGTTCTGATCATCCTAATTGGGTAACAGGATGAGTTACACACTGTACATAACTATAGGTCATCAGTAGCCCTTCAGTGCTCCCTGTACAATTCATTTATCGTGCATTTTTTATTCAGGAACAAGGCTGCATTAAAAAAAAAAAAAAGTAAGTCGCTTCCATAAGAAGGCTCATCGTGCAGAATATTCACAGTTTAAATATATGCACAGTCATCTCTACTAGTCAGACACCATTTCAGTCCTCTCATCAGAATGCACATTAACAGAATGAATTTGAGATACAGAAATAGCACACCGCAGCCAGGCCTGGAGTGTGGGCCCTAATACCTACCTCACTGGGATCTAGTCAGGTTTAATTAATTAATGCTTATGAAGCACTATGAGCTCCTCAGATCATCACTTCAATTCATTATCACCCCCATTTGTTTTGTGTCCCACTTCCCCCCTTAATTCAACAGTGAATTTCTTTTGGAAAGTGTTGCATTTATAGAGTAATGAACAGATGAAAGAGGTTGGAGTGATTCCACAGGAGTATAAAAGGGAGCAGGAATCCTTCCCCTTCCTTCCTGCTTGAGTCATTCAGCATCAGGTCTGAGAGGAGCATGAAGCTTCAGGATGTGTAATGCTCTTCCAGGAGTCACCCCTGACCAAACCCGTGTCAAAATGCACCAGAAAATGATGAATGTAAGGTTTTAGCATTAAAACAATTGGTTTTAGTCTGGAAAACTTCTCTGCTTGCATTTATGTTAATTAAAGATGGGCATGAGCCACAATGCTCAAAGGGGTGTGGATGCAGGCACTTGGTTCTTCCCTCATCTCTAATAATTATTAGATACATTGGATGGAAATAGTTGGAAAGAAAATCAATAAGAGAATGAATCAAGAAAATGAATGGCAATTTCAAATACTTACAAGTATAGGATTTCACTCAAGGCCAAGACAAGATAAAATTAGTAGTCTCTATTAAAATAAAACAAAATACAGTTTGATCAAACTTCCATTTAGTGGAATCTTCTTTAAGGACTTCAGATTTTGGCATTGAATAATTTGGGTTACAGAACTTAACAGGGAAAGAAAGAAAGATTGTCTGGTGAAACTCCAAGTCTGCTATAGGCTTTCCAAAGAGAAACCAGATTAAGACAAAAAAATTACTGGTGGAAGAAAAGCTGATAAAGAAGACTAGAATTTGATAATGGAGGAATTTAATTATTCAAGTATTGATTGCTATGATAACTATGTGGAAGCTAACAAAGTTTGTTTGTAGCTGCAATGCTATTAGTCTAGTAACTGAGCCCTGTGCTTGGAGATGGGCATGTGTGCTGTTATAAAATTAATTTTAATTATAAAATTTAACTTTAATCACATTTCATGTCAATATAAGTTTAAAAGTTAATGATAGAGAGTTCAAACTTCACTATGATAAAGATCCACATGGATTTAAAGGATAAATCAATGGAAAATCCTTCTTATCAAGAAAAGCTTGGGAGATTCACAAAGTGAATAGACTTGGGTAAAAAGAACAATGAAAGCCAAAATATGCTGTTATTTTATTCATTTGAAGAGAAAAATCTTATTAAAAACAAAACAATTGATACATCCAATGGTGAGGGGAAATGTGACAGTATACAATAGTGCAATGTGAGAGTATTGAACCAGGGAAAAGCAAATATGCTTTAGGGGGGGGCTGTTTTGTGGTTATTCTGATTAAAAAATTCTTCCTACTGGACTTCAAAGTTAGCACCTCATCTTTCAGGACTCACAAATACAGTTTTGCATTCAGATATTTTTGTTGCTAACATAACAAACCAAGAGCTTTGCAGTTTATAAGTGGGACTGACCTTGTGACCTTGTATATTTAAATGCTGTGATTTAATCAATATACCTGTGAGCAGGAACTTAAAATCCAGTTCTCCCCCATCTCATGTTTTCGCCATGGGAGTTTAGGGCGGTCCCAGGTGGGTCAAAAGTTTTCCTATCAGGCTTGCTTTCTCACTGATCCAAAAAGAAAAATTAACTCTCATAAAAAACATAATCCTCTTTCAGAGCAAAGGCCAATTTTCATTTTAAAAATATAAATTTGGGAAAAAATTAAGGTTTTGATTTTCTGTGAAAAATGTCTCTGTTTGGAACTGTAACCACAATGGTTTTTCCTTACCATGATTTATATGTCAGGCAATAATTCAGACAAAATATCAGCAAACTTCAGCAGAGAGGATGTGGCACCCGAGCTACAGCACCTTTTAAACAGGTTCAGTTAGATTATACAAATTCCATTTGTTTTAGTCTTAAATTTTTCATTTGGTTCCAATTCAAAGGGAGGGACTGTTTCCTGTGCAAAATGTTAGCTTTCCGATATTAAAATCATTCTAAGCATGAATCTAATATTAATCAACCACTTACTGTATTTACCAGAAATTGCTAGGTTCATCATTGTAATAGAAAGATCTGCAGATGGGAACAGAAATCTGGGAGAGATAGTAAACATCTTCAAATAGTCAAATAATGGAAAAATAAAGCAAAAGAAACTGCTAGTCCAAAGCAAAATATTACATACTATTTAGAATTAAGAATTTAGCACTAAAAAATATTTATGCAGCAGCAAATAAAAATATACTTCTTGAGCCAAAGAAATCCATAAGAAATGTAGGTAGAGACCTGTAATAAATCAGAAACGTTAAGAAGCACCCCAACAGTCATTTTGATCTCTCAGCACAGAAGTAAAGTAAGCACAGTGCATAAGGGTTAACTCCTCAGCTCACATAAATCAAGTTAACACCATTTAAGTTAGCAAAATGTATTCAAAGTCAAATTCATTCACTCCAGCCAAAGATCTGTCCCTAACTCTATCCGTTGCATTTTATACTGCATTAACAATTTTAACATATTCAGCTTTAAAGCCCAATATACTTCAATGTAATCTCCATTACATACACACACTTTTATGTACCCATGCATATGCAGAGGAATATATACATATAAAATTATTTTAACTTATAATATAAACAAATTAACATAACACAATTTGTAGCTATGAATAACAGAATAGGAACGGTTTTGCTGCATTTAGTGAGGAAACACACTGAAAATCCTAATTTGAGTAGAGTCAACCAACCTGGATTTACGAGCAGGAAATCTTGCTCAAATAATTTGTTGGAATTTTTCAAAGCTATCCCTGCCAAGGTAGACAAGGAAAACACTGTGGATGGTATAGAGTATGGCTAGACTTTCAAAAGAGTGCTTGATAAGATCCTGCACTGGAGATTACCAGCAAGGTACAGAGCCACTGCATAAACGATAACAAACTTTAATGAACTGATAAGAGTCTGCAAACAGCATTCACCGAGTGACTTAGAGATTGGCAGTCAATACAGGGTAGCGCCCCGGTCAGGTTAGGAGCTTGTCTGGTCTCTAATCTATGCAAAAGAATTAAATCAGAATATCAAAGGTAACGTATCAAGCCGTGCCGGGGACATAAAAGTGGCAGCAGCAATTGTCTCACCCGGGCTATAAATGCGAGATCCAGATCAGCAGCAAATGCAGCATCAGCAGCGCCGGGATCGCGCTGCGCCGGGCGAGCAGAGTAAACAGGGATTTGTCCTGCAGGGCCAAATGTGAAAACAAGCTCCACGTGGGCACAGGGATGGGAAGGAGTTGGTGCAGGGTGTTATGGAAGGGGCAGAGGGAGGGAAACCCAGGTGCTGCTTGGGGAAAAGGGAAAGGACGCAGGGAGTGACTGGAATTGCAGCAAAAGGGAGGGAAGAGATAAGAAGATGCTTTGAGTCTTTTAATCTTTAGGAGATAGGAAAGTTAGAGGAGATTAAAATCTTTTGAAATAAAAAAAAAAAATTAAAAAATTTTAAAAGCCAACCTTTTGTCTTATTCTAATTTGATGGGTAAGTGTTTGAGTAAAACTTTCTATCCCAGGAATACGATTATGGTTTACTGTAAGGATGACAAAACCAGTCTTGTGTCCCTTGAACCAAAGTCCCACATAGTTTTGGAACGCTGCAGTCCCTTTCTGCCCCAAGGGTGGCAGATCTGGCCAGAAAAGCTCAGCAGAACCAGCAGAGGAGGACAGGACAAAAGCATCAGAGTTGATTTCTGTGCTGCCACAACTCAGGGCAGTGTTGGAGCTCTGCAGCCCTCCTGGTGCTTTGTCAAAAGCACCAAAGAGATTATGGCTCCTAAATCCTATTTATTAGACTGTCTCCTCCCTGAAAAACCACAATTTGCATTCAATCTCAGTGCTCACTAAAACTTGGAGAGGTTCTGGGGACCCTGGACCTCATTCCCAGTACATTTTTTTTCTATTAGCAATTGACCAGTGGAGCTCTGCAGCCCTCCTGGTGCTTTGTCAAAAGCACCAAAGAGATTATGGCTCCTAAATCCTATTTATTAGACTGTCTCCTCCCTGAAAAACCACAATTTGCATTCAATCTCAGTGCTCACTAAAACTTGGAGAGGTTCTGGGGACCCTGGACCTCATTCCCAGTCCAATTTTTTGTATTAGGAATTGACCAAGTCCATGAAATAAGCTGGAACAGACTCATAAACCCCAAGAACAGGGCTCCAGTCCAGTGGATAGGTCTTTCACCTGGCAGAAGGATACATCTTCCAGTAAATTTTGATGAAAAAAGTGAATTCAAAGAATTGCTGAACAGGGCTGAATGGACCCACTCCAGCATGTGAGGTTACCTGAAGAGTTTTCAGTTTCATTTTGTCCTCTGATAACTGCACAAAATTTCAGCAGGTATTTAAATTAAACCAGCACCAGCTAAAAATGTGTTTTTCCTGCTCCTATGGCTTTACTACTTTTATCAACTTTTACATTTCTTGTTTCTTCAAACAACTTGCCCAACACTAGATAGAAATTCTGTTGCCATTACTGCCACATCTACTTCACTCAATTTAATGGATCTTTTTTTCAACAGCAAGACTAAAAATATTTGGCCTCATGAGGATTTATCAGAACTGTACCAAGATTAAAATTTCAGCTTATTATTACACACTTTTTACCAATTATTCCTTTATTATCTTTATGGAAGGACCCTCCACAAAAAAGCAGTCTGATTTTGTTGTAGTCACTACACTGAATTCCACTTTTTCAGACCACTATCTTTAACAAGGGGTAAAAAACCCAAGGGATTTTGAGCTATGAGTGACCAAGAGACGCCATGAGAAAAGTTTTTACATCCTTCATTGCCTTTGTCCAGGCCTAAGGTGGAATTTTCAATCCCTTTTTGGGTCACCAGCTCCCTGGTAGGGCTGGAATTTTTCGATTTTGCAGGATTTTTTAAATCACTGTGGACCCTGGATATAAACCTGAAGCTTTCTGTGTCTCTCAGATACTGTTTACTGATTATTTTTTTAACTATCTGTGTGTTCATGTTTTCATTTCTGTCATAACTGTTTCTTCACCTGCCTGAAACCAAGAGATTTCTAATTTTTCTTCCGTTTCCAAGTTTCTCAAAGTTCCTTGTCCACCCAGCACTGCCATCACAGTTCCTGAATAAAACCTCAGTGTTTCTCAACAGGGTGCAGAATTTCTTCCCCTAAACAACCTCTGCTAGCAGTGCCTCTTTTCTCAGGGGAAAATCTCCAAATAAATACGTAAATCAAACTTTCAATTCATTGTAAAAACAAGTTGCTTCCCTAAGCAACAGGGCATGGCTAGATATCAGAAATAATTGTTAATATATTGGGATTTTAATGCACTTAAACAACAAATTTAAGTGTCTTTTCTTGATCTTGCACCGCAGTGATCTACTTTGCCTGCTTTCCACTTCATGCTTTACCCAAAGTGTTTTTATTTCACCAGCTATCAATCTTTGAAATTTGAAAATCGTTCAGGTTTATCTGTGATTTGTGTTTCTTTCCCCACGGTTTGTGTTGAGAGCCTTAATGACATTCTCCTTTGAGTTGCCTCAGAGGAAAGGAAAGACCCAGGTTTTTTTCACATGTCTGAGGAAGCATCTGTATGCTAATTCCCTCTCAACTTTGCAAGCAGCAAATTTAAAGGGAGATGGTTTTTAGCAAATACAGACCAGTCAGCAGTTAGAAATCTTTGTAATGGCACCAGTTTCTTGGGAGATTTTTTTTCCTCCCACCAGCTTTCAAGGCTATTTCTTGACTTTACAAGATCACCATAAGTTAATACTTGACTCCCACAAGTCCCGCTCCACCTTAAAAATCGTACAGAATCTGTCAAACATCAATTTTGAATCAATGCCAATTCAGTATAAATAAAGTGTGATATGGACACTCCAGCAAAGGATTGCTGCAAATCAAAAGGGCTCTTATCACACAAGGAACATGATAGATTTATCTCCAGTAATTCCAATTCTGATCACCTTTTCCAGAGAAGAACTTTAGTGACTGAAATAGGAATAAGATACACAGTAATTATTTTTTCCGGCTGTTAAAGATACATTATATAAACAAAGGCTGAGCCTAATCATTTTTTTTAAGACCTAAACATTAATATTTTCATAATTAGGTTGAGGACTGAGGTAGTGGCTGTATCTGGTGAGTTTAAAAAGGAAAAAAAAACTATACAGATTATGCCAATTAAAAATGAAAGGTCTAAGAATAAACAGTGAATTCTTGCAGAGGATCCAATTCAGAGCATAGTAGGCATTATGTCAAATAAAAGCACGGAGTGAACTGAAGTATTAATGAACAGAAGAGATAGCCAGACATGTTTACACAGGCAGCCAGGGCTGGAGGATATACCGACAACGTGGGGAGGTGTGTTGTAATAAACTTGAAGGGGGACAGACTTGTTGGGCCAAGTGTCCCTTTCCTGTCCAGGAATTCCTCGTGTCCTCATTACCCTTTCACCTCTGGACAGCTGCAATATTAAAATCTGGCTCCTATCTTAAGGAAATTGAGTTTAATGTCCTTAATTTAGTCCCCAGTCCACACATATCCATATCACAAAACAATCACACAGTTTGGCTCAACGGACAGCGGCTGCTGAGGAAAGAGGCTCATCCTGGAATGGCAGGGCTGCTGCAAGGCAGGCCCAAGCCCTCTATAAAGCATCTGTGCAATACATGCATGGTATTTACTCTTGTGAGAAACCATCTTATTTTCACTTCTTTCTTTTCCTGGTATCTTTTGCAGGCAGAGTTTTAATTACCAAAGCAGTTGTCATGTTGGTGTGTCATGGCAGCGGCCAAGCTGGATGAGAACAAAGGTGGTGTCTTGGTTTTTTGGTGTTTTCTTCAGCTCCAAGCACAGCCTCAACAACTTGATTCAGCACATCTCCTTTCTCTCTCAGCAGAGGAGGGCTGCAGGGTGAGGTGCTGCATCCATAGATTACATGGCAGGAAAAACATGAGTGGCATATTTTGGTCCCGGGGATTGATATGCAACACTCCGAACACCGAAGTCAGCTGCTAAATAATCTGGAGTCAGAAAGGGGCAGAGTGGTTGTGGAGGGGAAAAAAAAAATGAAGGGGATAAAAATTAATCATCGAAAGAGTGTTATGCTTTATGTTAGTAAATCATTTTAACTAATTAATTACATCATATCTCCAGCCAGGCTTCCGATTAGAAATCTTCAGGAATCGGTGGGCAGGGATGTAAAATGTGCTTGTTCTCTTCATCTGGAAAACATCTATGTTGCTCATTTTCCAATATTATGGAAGTTTTTCTCTGTATTTTTCCTTCAGAGTTTTTTTTATGCCTTTGTGATTATTTTCTTCTGATCTGTTTGCTTACCAACATAAGGGGTATAAAATAGTGTAAAGAGTACTGATATAAATGTATTATAAAAATATTGAAGAGCATTGGTATAAATGTCAGTGTACTGGGTGCATTTTGGGATGGAGAGAGGGGTGTAAGATGGAGGATAAGTCTGTCAGCTCGCAGCAGACACGGCTGATTTGTAAATAACAAAATTGTAGGATTTATTCCTTTTGATGCACTGCACTTTTATTAAAAGAAAATCCCCTGGAAACCTCTGTAAATGGCACGAAACATATAATTAGACTTAGCTTTTTTCACCCTCTGCTTATTTAAATGCTCCGTAACTTCAGCAGTGATTCAGTAACAACAGATTTTATAGAAACATCTGACAATGAGAACAAATATTTGCAGTGTTTTCAGTCTCTGCTCTGTATTTCTCCCTGCGAGGCAGAGCTTGCCTTCCCTGTGTGTGGATCAGTGTCGCTTTCCCTGCTGCTCACACCTCCAACCAGATCCACTTTCCAACACTAAATATCAGATGTGACTTTTTACCCCCTCGCTTCCCACCTCTGAAATGCCACCCTACAAATTCCTGTCTCCAGATTCCAGGCACGGACCTCCCAAAAATGAGTGCCACCAGCAGGCAGGCTTTGGCATAGGCAAAACCATCGTGGCCAGGCACAGCTGGGGGTGGTGGTGGCACAGGAGCTCTCTCAGGCACTCACCTGCCCCAACAGCAGATATCCAAGGCTGTGCTGTGGTTGGATTTGCTC